GTCGCGATGTAGTGTGGTGCGAGTGAGATTTGATGGTTGTTTGTGAATGAGGATGACAGGCGAAGAGAAATGTTATAGCGAATGTTCGTTAGTGATGTGGTGTAGCGTGGTGTGAGTAAGATGTAATGGTTGTTTGTGAGTTAGGACGAAAGGCGAAGAGAAGTGTTATAGTGAATGTTCGTTAGTGATATGATATAGTATGGTATGAGTGAGATGTGATGATTGTTTGTGAGTTAGGATGAGACGCGAAGATAAGTGTCTTGACGAAAGTTCGTTAGTGATGTGATGTACTTTGGTGTGAGTGAGATGCCATGGTTGTTTTTGATTGAGGATGAAAGGCGAAGAGAAGTGTCTTGAGGAATGTTCGTTAGTTATGTGATGTTGCGTGATGTGAGTAAGATGTGATGGCTGTTTGTGAATGAGGATGAGAGGTGAAGAGAAGTGTCGTATGGAATGTTCGTTAGTGATGTGATTGTAGTGCGGTGTGAGTGAAATGTGAGGTTGTTTGCGAGTGAGGATGAGAAGCGAAGAGAAGTGTGGTATGGAATGTTCGTTAGTGGTGTGATGTAGTGTGGTGTGAGTGAGATGTGATGGTTGTTTGTGAGCGAGGATGAGAGGCGAAGAGAGGTTTGATAATGAATATTCGTTAGTGATATGATGTAGTGTGAGGATGCGTGAGATGTGGTAGATGTTTGTGAGTGTGGATGAGAGGCGAAGAGAAGTGTTATAGCGAGTGTTCGTTAGTGACGCGATGTAGTGCGGTGTGAGTGAAATGTGATGGTTGTTCATGAGTGAGGATGAGAGGCAAAGAGAAATGTGGTATGGAATGTTCGTTAGTGATATGATGTAGTGTGGCGTGAATGAGATGTGAAGTTGTTTGTGAGTGAGGATGAGAGGCGAAGAGAAGTGTGTTGAGGAATGTTCGTTAGTTATGTGATGCAGTGTGGTATGAGTGAGATGTGATGTTTGTTTTTGAATGAGGATGAGAGGCGAAGAGAAGTGTCTTGACGAATGTTCGTTGGTGATGTGATGTAGTGCAGTGTGAGTAAGATGTGATGGTTGCTTGTGAGTGAGGATGAGAGGCGAAGAGAAGTGTGGTATGGAATATTCGTTAGTGATATGATGTAGTGTAGTGTGAGTGAGATGCGATGGTTGTTTGTGAGTGGGGTAGACAGGTGCTCAACCGGCTCTACTGTGTTTGTGCGAGATGCATTAAGTTGATATTGGAAAACATATGGTGTTTAAAGATCTTAATGCGGTTGCATGCTTTTTTGTGTGAGGGTGATGGTTTTTTTTAGCATTGGTTGGGGTTATATTACGAAATTAAAATATTAAATTTCATAACAGAAAACTAGAGCACTGATATGTGGTACTGCAGTTTTATGTAGAAATTTCAATCCGCACTCGGGGAAAATATGTACGGGAATCGTTGTTTTTTCTTTTCGTCTGGTGAGGCATAGAAGAGGGATCAGTATATGGTTTGGACGCAAGGATGAGTGATGATGGAGTTATTTATGTCACAAACCGTACTCTCTTTATAGGTGGGAAACGCACTGTGGATTTATGAGCGTTGGTACACTGTAAAAAAAAGCTCAGAATTATAAACCCGCGAAAAGGGTTGCTGGTCGTGACATGAACCTTTTTTCGGTTTGTGAACGTCATATATCCTCTAAAAAACCCGTGTTTCCCACAAAACTCTGAGGGGGTTTGTTATACGTTGCATTTTCATAAATCTTTAGGATATATGAAAGTGCAACGTATAACATACCCTCCATATAAATTATACAGTTAATAAACCCTTCAAAACGGTTGATTATTTTGCTCTTTTTTTACAGTGTATCTGGCGATAATGTCCGTTATTTGATGACTTCTATAAGTAGGCTCTCAGACAGATTTTGTGAAAAGATAAATCTGTTTGTATGAGTATCCGCATATACATGTTGATATATGTGTCGAAATTTTCTCACATGATTCTCAACGACATTTTCTATATGTTTTACATGAAAAGTCGCTGTAGACTACGACGATAAATTACAGATAGAAGTGGCAAATGATATGCTGACGGGATCCACTGCACACGCAGCGCAGTATTAGAGTGCCAAGGTGCACACATCGTTCAGTCGAGCCGAGATGTCAAATTAAACAAGCCGTTAGGCGAAGAAAAATGTAACATTTGATTTTCATACTAAATATAGTTTCTTTCGTGAAACACTTCATATTATTTTATCAAAAATATTCAGCTCAGAAGACCTATTTCAAGCACACAGCGTATTAAATATCATCCTGCGTTGACCATCGTATAGCATTTGAACGACACTTTGCTGTGTTCAGATTACTACCAACGCTGTTCGCGAGAACCTTCAAAATCCATTCTTTTAACAACACCACAATACCGGACAGAATCCAGCGATCAGGAACAGCCTACGAAGCTGATATGATGTGATTATTGAATTATTCCCTCTACTGAAAGGAGGGTAATGCGTCGAGCTGATATCACTGAAAAACCGAGTCGATGTGTGTTCGTTCGTTCGATCATTTTGTCTTAAAATATTAACAAACACTAGTTGAAAGTAGTAAGGGTTGACCAAAGGATAATCGAGGTTGAGGATCCCCAATTCGAGGTTAGTTTCTCGAAATTCAAATTAGCTCATTATCTAATTAGCTAACTAAGCGATGAAAATTTTCTACGTTGTCGAGTAAGGGTTCACCGAAGGGTAATCGAGGTCAAGGATCTCGAATTCGAGGTTAGTTTTTCTATGAACACTTTCTGACCCGTTTTTTGCGACAAGGAATAAATTTCTTTAGACGATAATGTTTTAAGTGGCAATATCTAAAACAAAATGTAATAGTTGACTGAGGTCCGATCGCTGGATCTCCATAATCATCAGCATATTAATGAGATCACACACTTATATAAACAGCTATACTATACGAATATCATCTGATACCAGTCATTCAAAATAAGGTTTCGCTTGTCAAGTGTTATCTTCGGCAGTCACAGTAGCACAAAGAGGGTGACTTTTAAAGAAGGAATAGAAGAGAATGAATGAATTTTTAGTTTCAAAAGTGGCTCTAGACTAAATGGAATAGTGAAAATGTACATGCAACGGCTAGCCGCGAGTGATCGACGAGCGACTAGTGGTCGATTTGCAGAATAATATTTTTAAGAACAAACTTTATGATTTTTGTAGAGCTTTAAGATTTCTTGGTCAGAAATTCATCATTGCTCTGCACGAACATAGGTGGCAGCTATTTAAGGCTCCTGGTGGTGGAGAGAAGATTGAAACCTTTTCCAGAGAATCATTCAGCTATGTAAAGCGTCTAAGTTTTTGTTTATGAATTGATTTTCCGAAATGTGCTCATTTTCGGAACGCGTCTTCGTCCGAATGAAGTTAAGATAGTAAAACGAGTACGCATGGGAACAGCTAACCGTGAGTGGCCGATCGATTAGTTGTTTTTTTTTTAAATTAGCTGAAAAGTGAGATTTATAAGACTGTCGTAAAGTGTCCATAATTTTTCTAAGATATATATATGTGACATCTTTTGGAGCTTCGAGAAAAAACTATGTAGATCACGAACTCATTCAACTAAAAATGATAATAAAACATGTACTGTCGGTCACGAAGTTGTGAAGAATTTCGGGAACTTTGCTAGAGACGGACTCAACAAGAACGAGGTACTTTTTAATATGAAAATATCATTAAACACTTATTAGGTACCAAGGGCTAGCGGTGAGTGGTGGGCCGGAGAGAGGTCGACAAACGACTAGGCGTTATAATTTCAGAAGATTTCAGGAAGCGAAATTGGTCTAGGTAAAACATTCTGACAAATTATCAAAGGATCAGATCGTTCAACTGAAATAACTTTTTTCTCTCTTTGGACGAATGGCAGCGCTCTAATACTATCTTTTCAGTAGAGGGTTTAGCGGCTACTAGGCCGCGTTACTTGTATACAGAGCCATTTGATTGTCATCAACAAAATTTTCAAAAAATAAGAAAGAAAAAAAAATTTCAACGAATATAAATGCTTTCTCTATTTAACTCTTTGAGTAGAAATGTATTTTAAACAACGTGGTAGACAAATTATCTCTGTAAAACTTTTTAAGTTAAGCTTCAATCATCTTATAACAAAGGAAAGAATTCGTTACTTGTTGTCACACTCCGCATTTACAGTTTCACTTACAAGGTAAAACTTCATTACAAAAAATACTGAATCCATCGAATTTTTCTTCTTGGCATAATATCATCCATGTTTGGAATAAAGAATGTAAGGAAAAAGAAACAATCGTCATTAAATATTCAAAAATGTTCTAAGCACGAACTGTCAGATTTGTCTGACATGTTTATTTACTGAGCATGAATAAAATCAATGCGATTTCGTTTAAGATCCTTTTGTAAACAGACAATATATCAAGTTTTGATTGAAGATATTTTTATAAAATTTACTTCAAAATTTTACTTTGGTAGTGGTGAATATTTACACTTTGTTACTTATTATTTTTGAGATCTTTTGTTGTGAAAACTTTCTGGTAAGATTTTATATCGGTTGCGACACAAAATGTGTTGTAATGACAAATTTTATTTTCATTTATTCAACAGAAAATCATGCAATGTTGCGATTGTTTGAAGTGGTGCGAATTTCTTTATCTTTGTTTTTAATAATATACTTGAATATAAGAAATGAGGAAAAAAGCATGATTTACACTGGTTACTTTCATGAAAAGATCTTTAAGATATATCTGTTATCAACAATAGCCAATCTCAGCGGGATTAGAGGCTGGTTTGGAATATAGTAGCGATCATGACGGTGCTATCTGACTCTAAAATTACGCCTACGGTATTTATTTTTGAAAAAGATCAATGAATTGTCCGATAAGCTATTGGTGAAACAAATCAATCGATTATTGTTCTTGTTCTTGTGAGAATGGCAACATATATGATCGATTTGGAAAACAACAAAAAAAGACCATGAATAAAAACATCATGATAGAATGATATAGTTTATTCGACTTGTCCTTGCGGCATCACTTGATTTGCATTTTGCTTCCAGTGTATTTGAGAAAATACATGAATAAATTGTCGTCGAAATCGCTGTGAAACATATATGTAAATATAGAATGGACACTAGAAATATATTTAAAAAACTTGTTTAAACAAGACATTCTCATTCTTATTATTTACACTTACTACTGAATAAATCCAAAAAACAATAAATGTTATATTATTAACAAAATTTATTTGTTCTTTGAGAAATGTATTATCAAGCGTATTTGTAGTTAATACAATGATATTCATGATTGTATATGGTAAAAGAAGAAAGATATTTATAATTCCTTGTGCTAGAACTATTGATGTCAATTGTTTATCTAATTCACGTCGAATAAGTGGAACAGTATAATAACGCATTTGTTGAATATTTCGATAAGCCATTGATCCAAATGTAATTGTCATTAAAATAGGTAGAAATCCTACCAAAACGGGCGCAGTAAAATAAGCACGAAATTGTATATAAATTATATTAGTCATAGTACATATGACTTGATGTGTCATTGGTAAAACAATGTGATTGTAAAGGATTAAATAAGGTAATCCATATAGAATCCAAATAATGCTAAAAACTAGAATAAGACGTCGAGCTAATTTTATATTGCATAAATTTTGTAAACGTGGACTTGAACTAGTTGCACAATATTGATCAATTATCGCTAAACAAAAGCAATTCATAGAAAATATCCAAGAAAAAACAAATAAAAACAAACGAAATTTACAATAAAATAATGATTTTTCAGTTCCATCAGAATCAAATAATTCGCTTAATATACGTGATAATACGGTAGTAAATAATTGGCCAATATTTAAAATTGACATAATTATTAAATAAAATGCACATGAATTTTGTCGAAAAGTTTTAAGACTAAGAAATATAGTTATATTAAATATATTACCCAATAGTCCTGAAACAAATAATAAGGAACCAAACCAAATGAATACTTGTTTCTCAACAAAATGTAAAGATGAAATATACGTTGATGACATGCAGATTTTCTTTTGCTAGTTTTTAAATGAACCGATGAAACTAGTTTGATCTATGTATTTATATAAAGACTGAAATAAAACACCACTTTCTTTTAATTAAAAAAGAAGTCATTTCTGCTTTTGATACATCATTGCATATCTAATCTTCAAAAAGAAATGAATAATCTCTAACAAACATTCTCGTTTAAGTGACGTATGGTATTGATATATTGAATTATCTTACTATCTTGAGGGTGGGAGTACCCAGGTCGAAACGGGTACATCGGATCCTATCGAACGGTTACTTAATCCGACGTAATACAACCTATCGGATTCGGTCGATCATATATCACAGGATTCAGATGCTCTCCGTCTTTTTCCTTTCATATTCGGATATCGGATTCCTCAAGCTCCGATAGAGTTGCTTTGATCAGAATCGATCAGATCCGATCTCAGAATCTGATTGTTTCAGACCAGACCCAAGAGGATCCGATGTCAAGAAAGAGTCGGAACTCATAGTTTACCTGTCATCGGATTTCATAACAAATACGCTCAATTATAGCTATCGGAAACTGTCGGTTTATGGAAGAATCTGTCGGATTCTTGCGTCAGATTACCCTCAGTCAAACAGAGCGGATCCGACAGGATTCAATTGAGGTTTCGCATCGGAAATAGTCAGAAAACTATATATGCAACTCATCCAAATTGCTATAATGTTTTGCGAAAGCAATTACTGTATATGTGAATTCGAAATTTATTTTGTTGTTTCATTCAGCGAAATCAAGCCAAGTAATTAACATCTGATATGATACCAGTATGAAATTTGAATAATTATAAATAGTTTCAATGTGTCAGAATAAGGATTTCTCTGACATTCAACAACTCAGAAACGATATAATAGAGTAATATTTAATACTGATTACACTCTCCATCAATAATGAGAAAATGATTTATTAGTTTCCCACGATTCTGGGAAAATTATGTAAATTTCAATTTGTTTTACGTTATTGAAAATCAATCTGCTTATTGTTGACGGTCCTATGATTGCCAAAAACTGAACTAAAGTTCAACAAACATTGATTAGTTAACAATAGTCATATGAAATCATTCATAGTTCCCTTTTCTGAAAGAAAGGGTTATACAGCGTTTAAATGCTGTGCTAAAAAGCTTAAAGTTTGTCTGTCTGTCTGTCTGCCTTATCCAATCAGAAATCAGCATTTTTAAAATCAATGAAATTGATCGATTGTTGTTAGAAAATGATTACCGGTAGGGTAATCGAGGTCGGGGAACTTGAATCTGAGGTTATATTTAACTAATTATTAACTATTAATTAACTAGCTGTCAACTTGCCATAAATTATTAATATGCAGGGTAAGGGTTGACCGAAGGGTAATCGGGGTCGAGGATCTCGAATTCGAGGTTAGTTTTTCTATGAACACTTTCTGACCCGTTTTTTGCGACAAGGAATAAATTTCTTTAGACGATAATGTTTTAAGTGGCAATATCTAAAACAAAATGTAATAGTTGACTGAGGTCCGATCGCTGGATCTCCATNAAAAAAGCATTCTATTCCTACAGCTTTGACCTGCGTCACCATCATTCTCTCCTGATGTTCCTCTCTTCCACCACGCTTCGACTAGGACATCTATTCAATTTTTATACATACATTTAGATGGTTCGACGAGTGAGACTAGAACATAAGACCTTTCAATTACAAGTCTACTTACTTAGGCCATTGCACTATATTGGCTTATCTATGAACAAGTTAGATTTCCCTTTTAAGAAGATAATTCGTCTAGGACTTATCTCAAATGAAATGAATCGTACAAAAAATTCATGAATATATCTGAATATTAATTAATAATTCGTACTTCAGGTGTTTTTCTAACGACAAAACTCAGATTATTTTCTATTGAATCAGAAAGATAAATCAACTTTCTTCCTATTCTCATTTAAGAAGAATAATGCGATGTCCTAGTGAAATCTTTGCTTGTTGAGTGAGAAATTATTTTAATATGAATTGTTAATAATTTTGATCCTCGGCACGGCTTTGGTGAATAAAATATTGCTTATCTCTATTCCTGATGAATCTAATGAGCGATTCTTAGCGATGGCAGCAGATTTTGTTCATGCTTTTGATGAAGTGTTATTTTCCATTATCTCTTTACTTATATTAATGGTTCTGTTTTTCAATTGAAATCCTTTCAGTACTTTTCATGAGTTACAATGAGAACAGTTGACAGAAAGTCATATCGAACAAACAGGCTAAGAGGTTTCACACAAAAAGATACAATTTAGTAGAGGAAATGAACGAATTTTTTAAAAGAAGGTACTGTGGAAAATGCATTTTCAATAATTCGAATGAAAGAGTTTGTCATTTCAGACGCGTTTGAACGCATTAACTGCCGAAAACACACATAAACGCGCCCAGACGCGTTTATATGATGCGCCTGGGCGCGTTTCTTAGGATCTATCGCGTTCAGACGCGCTTATAAGATGCGTCTAGACGCGTTTCTTAATTCTATCGCGTTCGGATGCGTTTATAGGATGCGTCTAGCCGCATTTCTTAGTTGTATCGCGTTCGGGCGCGTTTATAGAATGTGTCTGGCCGCGGTTCTTAGGCTCTACCGCGTTCAGATGCGTGTATAGGATGCGTCTGACCGCGTTTGATAATTCTATCGTGTTCAGACGCGTTCATAGGATGCGTCTAGACGCAGCACTACACTATGTGAAACACCAAACGCGTCCAAACGCGTTTTTTCTGCGTTTCAGAGTTACATGGGTTATATGTATATATATATAACTTTTCAGTATTATAAATTTTAAATAAATAAACTTTTTAGATTTTTTTTCTCGTCAGAAGTGTGTTATGGCTAGTAAACGTGTTTTAATTGTGGATTGTCAATTTCCATCAATTATTATTTCAAAACAATCGTGGTCAAATTTTATTGATGACGATAATGATGATACAGATTTATATATTTTCACTAGTAATGGTGCATTATCTGAAACAGACAAAATTAGTAAATATATACGAGTTTATAAAGAAGTTCCCGATCCCACAACAGATGGTACATTAGAATTATGGGCATTAGAAATGCATAGAAAACATGTTTTTACACATATTTATACAAAATGTGAAGAATTAATATTCCGAGTAGCTCATTTACGTTCATTACTTAAAATAAAAACTGGTTTAACAGCTGAAACAGTTGCAGCTTATCGTGAAAAGGTTTGTATGAAAGAAATTGCTCAACGAGGCGGATTTCCAGTTCCAAAATTTGCTCGTTTATATTCACCATCTGATCTTATTGATTTTATTGAAAAAAATAAATATCCAGTAATAATCAAACCAACACTTGGTCGTGGTACATCTGGTATTCATCTAATAAAAAATGAAAATGAATTAGAAATATTTCTTTCATCAAAACTTTTTTCATGTATTGATATTAATCAACGAACTGATTTAGTTGGCGAATTTATTGTTGAACAATTTATAAATGGACGTATGTTTCATGTTAATGGTATTGCAAAAAACGGTCGAATTATGCATATATGGCCATTTAATTATATTAATACATGTTTAGCTTTTTGTCAAGGAACAGCTTATGGAAATTCATCAATTCCTCAATCAAATTTATTATATAATCGCTTATATAAAACTGCACAACGTCTTCTTGATATTTTTCCAACACCATCGGATGTATTGAATTTTCATCTTGAATTATTTGAAAATCTTGATAAAAATCGTTTACCTAATGATGATTTTATTTTATGTGAAATATCAGGACGTGGTCCTGGTGGTTCAATAAGACATCTGATTAATTTATTATGTTTTGAAAATGATACAAAAGAATCATATGCTCGTCTAGATTTTCGAGCAAGTATTTCATTATCAATACCAAAATTTATCGAAGAAGATCAAGAAAAAGTTGTTACAGATCTTATAGTACCATTTAAACAAGATCAATTTATCTATATACCACGCCAATGTCCAATTGATTATTTAGTATATACACCAATAGGAGAGATTGGAAAAGCATTAACTTATAAAAAATATAATATAAATGGTATAAATTCTGCTTGCCGTTTTGTAGCAATTACAAAAACAAAAGATGAAGGACAAAAATTAGTAGAAAAAGGTCTTCAATGGTTCGAAAATGTTTGTATTAATATATCAAGTGATGAATCATAAATAGATACATTATTCAAAGAATTTTTAATTATATTAGATTTTTATATTATTACTTATTTTTTATTTTCATATTAATCAATGAGCAAACAAGAAAACAATAAATAAATAAAAATTTTAATACATAAAATATGTTTATTTGTATTTTCAGTATGGGTCTATTGACGAAAGGTAATCCACTTAGTTGGAATGACATTGTTTTGATACGTGAAAAAATTCACATGGCAGCATTGGTAGAATTATTACAAATCTTTGAATTAAACAAAGATCGTCAAGGAGATAGTTTTATGTGGGGTGATGAGGTAATAAGAGATAAAAATATTTTATTATTTTATTCAATTTTCGTTTTTCAGATAGAATTATGTTTAGTTAGATTTGATCATTCAAATAAACATATTCAAGTCTGATTAAAAAGTGATGAATTATTAAAAAGTCTTGTTGAAATAAATGAGAACATATCCGATAAGTAAATTTCTTCATTTTTAGGCGGATATTGATTAATAATGTTGGTTTTAAAGATCTTTAGTACTTAATATATCTGAACGACGTCAATCACGAACATTTATTAGTATACCAAGTATAATCAATATTGAATATAATGATGAATTTTTCATTTATTTTAAACAGTCTTTCGCGATACGGCAACTCCATCACCATTTTGTGATGTTACATTCGAAAATAAAAGCAATATTATTGATGATCATATTCATTTAGATAGTAGTATGGCTGGTTTAGGTTGTTGTTGTATTCAAGTTATATTTCAAGCAGAATCATTAAAAGAAAATCTTAAACTTCATGATGAATTATTACCATTAACAAGAATTATGGTAAGAATTTCAATAGTTATTTTACTCTAAATATAATTATTTAAATTTTGGTTATCATTAAGTGATGCTTGTCGCATTTGAGGAGGATTCTTTTCTGTCATTGATTGTAAATGGATTATTTTATCACAAGCAACTTATGATCAAACAATTGAAGAATTACAACAAACAAATATTGCTGCACAATTTGGCTCATCTTCGATGTGTTTGAGTGATAAAAATAATTATTTCAATGATATAGCAATCGATGTTAATGAAATAATTTTTTCAAAATTAGTTCAACATGGTTTGTTTTTTAAATGAAATACATTTGGAAAATAATTTCTCTCTAAAAAGTAGGTATGCCATTAACGTTATCAACATATTTTGGTCATTTATTTATTCGAGACCCTTTAATTGTTGTACACGATCAATTTCATATGAAAGATGATTTATCATCTTATTCCCTCTACTGAAAGGAGGGTTATGCGTCGAGCAGATATTACAGAAAAAACGAGTTGATGTTTTTCCTCCCGTCCGTTTTACTTGAAAATTATCTAAATACTAATTGAAAGCAGTAAGGGTTGACCGAAGGGTGATCGAGGTCGAGGATCACGAATCTGCTGTTAGTTTTTTCATGAACACTTCATGGCCCGTTTTTTTGCGACAAAGGATCACTTTTTTCAGATGATAATGTTTTAAGCGGCAATATGTAAAAGAAAATGTAATAGCTGACTGATGTCCGATCGCTGGATCTCCATAGTCATCAGCATATTATTGAGATCACACACTTTTATGAATAGCTATACTATACGAATATAATCTGATACCAGTCATCCAAAACAATGTTTCGCTTGTCAAGTGTTGTCTTCGAGAGTCACAGTAGCACAAAGAGGGTGACTTTTAAAGAAGAAATAGAGGAGAATGAATGGATCAGTTTCAAAAGTGATTCTAGACTAAATGGAATAGTGAAAATGTACATATAACGGCTAGCTGCCAGTGACCGACCGAAGGGAGGTCGACGAATGACTAGTTGTTTCTTTTGAAAATTAGTCGAAAAGTGAGATTTATAAGACTGTCGCATAGTGACCATAACTTTTCTAAGCTATATAGTATATGTATATATATGACATCTTTTCGAGCTTCGAGAAAAAAAACTATGTAGATCACCAACTCATTCAACTAAAAATGATAATAAAACATGTACTGTCGGTCACGAAGTTGTGAAGAACTTGGGCAACTTTGCTAGAGACGGACTCAACAAGAACGAGGTACTTAACGGCTAGCGGTGAGGGGCCGATCGGAGAGAAGCCGACAAACGACTAGGCGTTATAATTTCAGAAGATTTCAGGAAGCGAAATTGGTCTAGGTAAAACATTCTGACAAATTATCAAATGATCAGACCGTTCAGCTGAAATAACTTTTTTCTATCTTTCGACGAATATTAGCGCTCTAATACTATCTTTTCAGTAGAGGGTTTAGCGGCTACTAGGCCGCGCTACTTGTAGCTCAATATGCTCTGTCGTTATGATGTATTGCTCAATTTTATTGAATAATTTTAGGGTGGGAAAGTAAACAAATACCGAATACGTTATGGAAAAAAACAGCAATCGAATCGACCTACTGTGGAAGATGACTTTTAAATCTCTTAAATCTCAAGTCTAACTTTAGTTTTAGACTTTTGCTGCTGTTAAATTCTACTTCTATAGTACATCAGTGTATGATATCTAACTGGAATACAGTTATTGTTGCTGTTTGCTATAAATCGGCAAATATTTATTTGTTTTAAGAGTAGATGAAAAAACAAAAATAACTTGAAAAATATGAGTCATAACTAGGGGAAAACCCAGTATCAATGAGGTAAGCAGGAAACAACAACAGAGCAAGATAGATCAGATTACTTGAAAAAAAGTTGATTTATCTACACTGATACTGTAAAAAGAAGATTAGGAATTAAAAGTTTGACTAAGCATACATTGTTAATATAGATAAGAGTCAGAACAGACTCGGATAAAATATGCCCGTTTTATCATCTAATATCGTATGCAATATAATGCGTACATCAAGCACAGAGTGAGTTATTGTGGATACGTGAAAGAGCGCAAGCGATGAAAGAAAAGATATCCTTCGTTACTGCAAATCTAGTGAAATCATTCATTATATTTCCGATCCAGGAGATATTTTAGGAAAGCAATTAGATGTCAAAGCAAGAAAGTTCTAAGCGTTTTGGAAAGAGATCATTCGATAGTTTTTTTTTCAGAAAATAGAGCATTCATGTTTATTTAACAGAACGTCAATAAGCCTCGACAGCCTACTAATACTGACTATATCTTTATAATTATCATTATTCACATCGATAACGCCAAACCAATCACGAGAACGCCGTTCATTCGAATTAACCCTTTGTGCAGAAAATTGATTGTTTCCATATCCAAATAATACATCGATAGCGTGGGAAGGGTATATATCAATAACAATATCGACATGATTATCATTATTTATATCACTCATAAGAAATTTATCCATTTTTCCAAGTAATTTCACATTGATTTTTTCTTTCCGTCGGAAACTATCATTAAAATAATTATAGATTATATATTCAAGATCTTCCCCATTGTAAAAAACAGCAATATCAGATTGATTGTCACTATCGAAGTCACCAGTTATTACATATTTGATCGTAGGGAGAAAACTGGTGAATAGCGGTGTTTGCATTTCAAATATTCCATTCGCACTTCCAAGAAAAACATGGATATGCAAAGATTCGGGGCTATATAGGATAATATCCAGATAACCATCATTGTTATTGTCGCTAATACATAACGGCATCGATATCAGCCCGTTTTTCATTAATGAAAATGCCGATGAAAAACTTCCATTATTCTGTCCAAATAGTATATGAACATTCTTAAGCAATGCATAATGTACAACGATATCCAACATGTTATTCTTATTAATATCAATCAGTATCACTTCAGATACACTGCCCACAGATGCGATAGACGATACTACAGACTGTGTTTGAAATGTGCCATTACCATAGCCGAATACAATGGCTAACACTGCCGTTTCATTAAGGCATAGTGCTAGGAGCACATCAAATCGATTATCATTATTCAAGTCAGCAATATTGACATGAGTTATTCGACCAATATCACCAAACGACAACATCGTTAAATTTTGAAATGTTCCATTGCCGTTTCCTAATAATACCATTAACTTTCCCTGAATATCATTAATTCCCATTACTAGAAGTATATCAGATCGATCATCATTATTAAAATCAGCAATATTAATAGATTTGACCCGATGAGATCTGGGCAAGACAAAGATCATTGAATCAGAAAATGTTCCATTTCCATTACTTAGCGATACAACCACCGTCTCATTTTCATCAGATCCGCAAGAATATATCAGATCCATTCGTTTATCATTGTTTAAGTCACCACTTGTCACAGTAAGCTGATGCACGGTGTGATATAAACAAGAAATGTTGGTTGACACCAGTCGAAACTTATTTTGACACAATGAATCTAAGAGGGAAAAAATTATTATTTTTGTGACTTATTTTCCCGTTAAAATAGATCTTTTTCCAGACGATATTTATTATCTGACTCAACATTCGAATATATAAAACAAGTACAGTCCTCATTTGACAATCGCATTGACTCTTTCTCGTTGAAATCGTATTCAAATTTCGCAACCTCGATGATCTTTCATTCAATCAACGAACTGCGGACAACATAGACTCTACTTTATACGAGAGAGATCTTACTCGTTGTAGTCGAAGATACCGTCATTATTGTACTTGTTATCGTTGTTGTGCTCTCATTTCGACCTGTTGTTTTATTCATCACTACAACTGCTAAAGGCAATATTCCGCATCATTATCACAGAAATGAATTTTTCTACCTTTTCTCGCATAATAAACCGAAAATATCACAATAACAATCATTAGCAGCATCAGTGTGATAGCTGCGAAAATTAATTTGGAATAATACTGAGTCCGTGAGATAGTTGTTCGGCTAAATAAAACAAATTCAAACTTAAGCACAGCAAATCAGATGCCCTTAACTCACTTGGATGTTTGAAGGTCAGCAGTACAGTCGAGATGATCTGATGTGGTCGAAGGTGAGTGAACAGGATGAACTGATGTCATGTGTCTTCTACGATAATATTCATACATTTTCAATGCAATTTGAATTAGTTTCGGACAGATCCATCCCAGAACTAACGTCAAACCACCTTGAAGACTGAGAAAAAGTGCAATGATGTAAAAGATATTGAACTTCTCAGTGTAAGAATATGAACATGATAAGGGTGAACATCGATGATAGTATTGTGAATAGTTCCTTTGTGTTTTCCATTGTTCAGTAAATGCATGGTCTATCAACTCATCAACAGTTGTATTTGGTAGAAAGCGATTTGATGTAATACAACGAGGAACAGTAATGTTTGGATAGTTTGTGTATTGATGAAGTAGATCAACACATGATTGATTGTGAAAACATTCGAGAGTTGATAAATGAAAAGATTCACTTGGTAAACATCCTATTTTCAGTCCAATAAGTTCAATTCTTTCTGAAGAATCGTTTTCAATGAAATTTGCTTGGGTCGTGCAATTTGGGGATAGTCCGCATGAGCAATTATCATCATAGACCATTGCCTCTGTAAATAGAAAGATTTCGGCGGCATTATGAAAGAGAGTAAAATATTGAAAATTAGTCTGGTATGTTGTCATAAAAGCATTTCCATGAACCACACTTTGAACGATGAAGAGAAAACGAGATAAGAGAATTGGAGCATTGGATTCACTTTGTTTAATTGTGATGTTGATACGATGATGAAAGTCTTGTTGAGAGAGAAGTTCAGTAGTGACTAATAGTGATGTAAGAAGTTCATTGATAGCATTGTTAACTGAATCTCGTGAGATCTGACATAATACTTGAAGATATTGAAGATGAGCAGAAAGGAATCGACGATAATCATTGAATGAATAAGTAGAGAAGTTCAATGTAAGGCCATCTATTATTTGCATGTGCCATTCTTTTTGTACGAACTTACTTGAACAAATCTAGAGATGAATATTCTCATAGACATAGCGATGTTTGTTCAAATCGATTCTGAATCTTTTGCTGCACTTAGTTTTCGACGAGAAACTCATGATTTTGTTTTTTCGACTGATCTCTTTCTTCATAGTTTAAACAGATGCTACTATTCTGACTGAATGAAATCATTCTCTTTGTGATTTTGTTAATAGACTCTAAAAACACATGCTTATGATCAGTCTTCATATCGAACATATCTGTATGATTTCTGTGTAAAATGAATGAATGTGTTTGATCTTACTGGATGAAATACTGGTGCTATTTCAACAAACGCATTATATGTTGATGCAATCTGTGAACATAAACATTTGAGTTGATTGCCATGAATTTCTTGTAATATTTCATAGGTATCAAATAAGGGTTGGGTGAATGTTGTTGTCACAGTACGTGATTGAAAAATTGTATACAAGGTGAGAACGATGAAACTGCTAAGAAATAAGATAACATAGAGACGAGTTGCCCATCGACCATAGTTTTTAGTTGTGAGTCGATCAACATTACTCCCAAACTCGGATGATACAAATATATTCAGGTTAAATAGTTTTGTTGACAAAAGTTTGATATCATTATATATGATGACCTTCATTCGAATGAAAAAACTTTGATGGACTAAGCGATATAAGAAAGGCATGAAGAGAAAGCGTTGAAAGGAAGATTTAATCACGATACCTCGTTGCGAGCGTTGCCGTCTGCCTTTCCTAATCATGGCCAATAATCGAATAACCATTTTGATAAGATTAGGTGTAAAAATTCTTAGTGAAACTGTCATACCACCAATCATTGATAGTAATGTTATGATCACTCCGAGGAAGTTTTTTGTATGCATTCTTTGAGAATAAGTACAATAAGTAGGTGCACATGCGTCATAGAATGACGCATAAGATATTGAAGAATACCATTGTTCAATCATCATCTCTCTGAATATAGTGGAAATATTTTCTTGCTGAGAGAATCGAGTCGTTGTTGGGTCATAAATCATTGGGACAAGATCAGGTGGGTACTTATTCCTAACAGACGAGATTTTTCAAACATACTTTTACGTACACACTCGGAAGTCGCAATTATAAGCGTTATGTAGTGGCAGACAGCATTCTTGAAACAGTTTCTGCCGTGAAATTCTCATTTTTATTCTCTTAAGTTGACAAATACTTAATATTGTTGGCTTAGTGGATGCATCCTTTTAAAGCTCTAGCCTTTCATAGAAGATAAAATTTCCATGACTGAAGGAGCATTTCCAATGTATTATCCGTCATTGTGTAAAGCTTATAACTGTGACTTCCGACTGTATGTGCAAGCGCGTCTTTTAACACCCTTTTCTGGCAAGAAAAGGGATGATACATTGCTAGTAACGTACCACTCAGAAAAAATAACCAATAAGGATGGAAAACAAGCGGAATTTTCATACAAACATTCAAGTGATGAAAGTAAAAGAGAATCAACAGCAAGACACCGTCGAATCCAGCCTGGAACATAGTGAAATGGAGCCTTATCAGGAACAGTCCCTTGTGTAAAGAAATATTCATATGCAACAGCTGGAGCTTGACAATACGGGTCAATAGCACAGATGCATTTGGTCATCGTTGAATTAATTTCTTGAAGTTCATTCAATCGAAAGTAAAACTAAAAGGAGAATTGCAAAGCGTAGATTTATCTGTTGATTGTAATTAAATGAAAAGAACACTACACGATGTGAATGTAAAGATCTACAAGAGAAAACAACTCATTTGATAGGTATATTAAAGTTTTAACATGCAAAAGATGTTCAGCGGGAAACTAGTTTATTATATATTATTTTATCCATAATTAAGGAATGACGATCATTTTTAACGATCATAGTTACGACGCTTCTGAATGGGCTATTTGCTTAGTGAGTGCATATGAAACTCATATGTTAGGTGTATCATAGTTTAACTGATGATTTATTTGACTAGTGAGATTTGTTTCTGAAAGCCCATTGTGTCCATGGCTTTCGTTTGGTTTTGCTCAGAGGATGGAGGGGGAGGAATTCAAGAGAAAATGGCTTTCAATTTGAAAGCGACAGCAATTCAGGCTCAGGGAGAAATAAAATAGTCCAAATTAGAAGAGAAAGCAGTAGAAAATCAAAGAGAAAATATTTCAAAACTCAAAGAAAAACAGGATGTATTAAAGCAGAAAGTACCGCATTTTCTGAAAAGCCGTTTGTATACGATACAGTAAGCAATTCTTTCTATGCTTATACAGAGAATACTATTTTAGCATCGAGAAATACGACAGATATGTTTGTATACAACTTGGTATACCTGCTAACAGAAAAAAGAGCAATGTTTCTAAAATTCTCTGGCAGAAAGACAACATGTAAGAAAAACATTAGGGAGGGGAATTCCATTACCATCCCCTCTCTAATCGTATGACCTGATTGTGTAATTGAATTCTACACAAATATAACATACAACTGTCAATGAAACAATTCCATTGTCAACGTTCAACACTTCATAGCTATTACTACATACTTCTTTTTTTATTTAGGACCTGAAAGACAATAATACTAGCGAAGGAGAAAACCACTCGTATAAAGACTCACATTCTGTTATTTAGGTAAAACAATAACTCACCTTCATTTGTTGGTTGGCATCTATGTCCTCTGTCAAGACATCAATCATCAAGTTAACGTCAGAAGACGTTCCAATGTCTTCTCTCGCTGGTTCTATATATAGCTGATCCATCTGTAACCGAAGCTGTAAAACATCGGTCATCACAGCAAAACTATACACTGTCGATCGATAAAACTGATTGAGACTTATATTGATTTGTTTGTTGAGTTCAGTTTCGTTCATCGCAAACGAAACAAGAAATAACTGAGACAGGTATCGACCTATAGCATCACCGATCGTCTTGTTGCTTAAGTAACAAAAATCAGACAAAAACTGAAATTGTAAATGTAGACGGTATCGCCAATCATTTAAAGGAAAGTCAGTGGCATAACCATCTAACACGTTGATCCAGCTGTCATGTATGAAACCGCTAGAACATATTTGATGGAAACGTGGTGATAATGACAGAAAACTTCCATAAGATATTGCCTTTTTCGAACATGGGCATTGAAATGAGTCGGCAAAAGAACTTTGTAAAAAATAATACATTGTGATTGTTGGATGTTTTTCTATCATCATCATCACTTCAGTATTCAAAGACGTAAACAAACAAATAGTACAGATTGAACCTAGAATCAGAATCAAATCAAAACATGAGAGTATCAGAATTGTCTGCGTATATTTTGTAAAATTTATGAAACTTTACCAAACAATAAAGTCAGATAAACACGTGTGACGATCTTCTGTTGTCTAATACCTAATTCTGTTCTATCATTAATATCCTTAAACAAATTCAGTTGTCTCATTGTTTCAATCAGTTTCCACTTCTTGGCTCGTTGTTCTATAATGATAATCAGATAAATATTCATGATGTTATACTTAATGTCAATAAATCATTACCTGTTGGATTGTCATTCCTGTTTTTTGACCAACATTTCCATTTAGTTATGGTATCAACAGAAAATGATACGATGAGACGAAGAACAATGATAAGACCGCCATAGAGACTGATGAAAATTGTTATCGCATAGACTAATTCTGTTTGTTCTGTTTTCGAATATGAACATGAAGATGGAGAACATAGTTGAAAATATTTCTCATAATCAATATGTCTTGACCAGTTTGTGATGAAAAGATTACTCAAATATTGATCAACAGGTATTCTTTCATTTTGAGAGGATAAAGCTGAATTATTTAGATTGAAATTGAGCTGAAGAAAAAAGAGAAAGAAGGTTGAATGGAGAGATGTAAAATAGATGAATACAAACTTGTGTTAATTTTGGAAAATAATCGAGTAGTAGCTGAAGACATTGCACTTTGTAAAGACAATCTAATGTACTATGGAGAAGTGCATAAAGAGGTGTATATCCTATGAGGAATCCATCGACAACCATTGAAACAGACTTTAGATATAATTCATATCTTTTACGTAAATCATCCGGTTCTGATGGTAGTGAACTAAGTGTAGCATTGACCAAAAACATTGAATCATCATTCCATAGCGATAATTCATTAAATAATGACTGTGATTCGTACCCTTCCAAAGAAAGATATTTATTCGCTTCATCAATTGCTAAAATGATGAAATTTGTATTGAGAGCAGTGATGACATAATGTCTGTCAGTTGTATTTTTTAGATAATCAAAGAACGTTATCATTCGAGATGTTGCACTATTTTTCAAATGTTCAATCGTTCCATAAATTTCTCTCTCAATTTGCTTTTCAGAAAGAAGATAAAGATTGACAAGTTCAGTATTATTCACATCAATCAGAATCTGAGAAATGATTTGTTTTGAAAGAGAGCAAAATCTTGACAACAATTCAAACTAAAACAAACAGATTTGAATGAGAATGAACTTAGTGATACTGATTACTTGTGAATATGCTGTTGTTCGAAAATCCCACACACCATATTCACTTGCATTTTCAAAATATAACTTCGTGACCCATTCTCGACTGATGAAAACGCTTGAACATATAGGATGTGTTGTGATATTGTTTGCGGTAACGTTTTGATAAGGAATTGTGATAGTTGAACATGGGCAGATGAGTGTTTGATAATGTTTATGGTAAAGTTTAATGTATGTAGGGAGTGTTATGTTCGATATGACAACTGTTGTTGAACTCGTTTTGATTAGATTGATGTAGAATAAAATATAAAAACAAACTAAAACAAAGGAATGCTTTTGTCATCATCGTGAGAGTACTAAGATGCAAAATATTCTTATCCGTATCATCATCCACACACCATCACCATTGTTCTCGCTGGTAATGTGTAACGATTTCAAAATGTATAATAAGAAAGAATAAGGTGATAGTTACCTGTAAAAAGAAGAATATAAAGCCAAGTTTTATATTTTTGATATTTCACAATCAAATGTGGATTTGGAGGATGTTCAACATCATCATTATATTCATCTTCTTTCAACATAAAAAGGTTATAATTGATCCCTTTGTTGTAAATCCATGTAATGAAACTTTTCAAATTCATTTGAATAGTTTGAGAAAATGCGTCGTTGGTGTCGAGAATTGACTAAAAAAACTTGTAGTATTTATCCATGCGAAGCTAGCACGAATTAACGATGTGTTAGCTAAAAAGTTTTTTTACTAAATAAGTCCCGTCCCTCAAAATTATACCATTCGACGCGGAATTTAATTCTGCACGGAATGGTGATGTTTCTACTCACGGGACAAACTTTGAGAAAATGTTTACCTATATCTTTGTTTACCTCCTATAGGTCTATTTACGATCCAAATAAAATTTTTCTAAAGTTTGTCTCATGAGTAGAAACATCACTATTCAATGGAGAATTAATTTCTGAGTCAAATCGTATAATTTTCAGAGACGGAATTTATGTAATAAAAATGTTTTTAGCTAACATGTTGTTTGTTCGTGCTAGCTGCACACTGATGCACTATTTGCTCTAAAAGTAGGACAATGGTATTAAATACGCATACGACAAAGACTATAGTTGGGAATCAAATGAAAATATAAAATGCAATTCCAATGGAAAAACATCAAGACTTAAATAGTTTGTTTTCGGTCATTTTGACATCTTCATTAGTCTTTTTCAAATAGAACATTTCCCTTGAGTATCTGATGTTTTTGTCAGGATTTACGTCATGCTCATATGAGAAACATTGTCTCCGCACTATTTGACAACGCCTTTGCTTAGAGATAGTTTAGAAAATTTTTGTTGTTGTTTTACAGTATAGAAAAGCATGCATTATAAATCAAATAAAACAAATCTGATAAGTTCATTTCCTTCTTTCTAGATAACATCTAGGTGCTTAAACATATGACGTACAATACCTTCGGGCAGGATTCGACATTTTCTTGAGCGGACTCGTTGCAGCGTAGGTTCCAATCAAACCAACACTGGTTTCAACTACAACTTGATGAGCTCTACCAATTCCAAAAATAAAATTTCCAAAAACATCCTTTCTTCACCCTCAAAAAGTCTGAAAAAACTCAAAACTAGAGAAAAACCAGGGCGGATTTGTTTTACAACCACCGATCACGATTTTAACACTGGTTCCATATCAAACTCGACTAGCTCTATCGATTCCAATCATATAATTTTTCTACCCCACTCACATCTTCACCCTCAATAGATCGTAACATTTAGAAATACAAAGATAGTAACAGGAATATTCCATGTCTGTCAACCTGATTTTTAACATAGTTGTATTGAGGTACGAAAGTATTAACTGATATTTTTCACTTGATGCATATAAGTCAGTATATAATTTTATGTATGTGTTGGAGGGGAAGACTGTTAATGTAAACTGATTTCTATACTGATCTTACGACAATCACAAAAATAAAAGATCTATGCCTTTGAGACTCGTCATAAAATAACGAGAAAGACTTAAGAAATAATGTGTTCTACTGGAACTGAAAGCTAATTAAAAGAATAATGGTTAGTTTTTAGAGATGTTTGTATCACATATTTTTATACAATGAATATATGCCGTTTGATGATTGACTTGTCTCATTTGCAAAAAGTAAAGGTTAAGAAATCAGTAAGGTGATATTCTCTTAAAGTCGTTAAAAAACAGAAATCAACAACAAATACACGAGTCAAGTTTGTACAATTGATTTATAAAAAGAAACAATATCATTATCTCATATATAAGAAAACGTCTTGAGATTCAAAATAAGACAAATTACACTTCGAAACGGATACTTTCTCGTTCTACAAGAGTCGATGAAGGCAGAATTCGTGCAGGACTTGAAAAAGTATCACCACGACCAAACGATGAGATGGTTGGCGGAGGTGGTGAAATAAATGTTCGATACTTTGGCGTTTGAATATTCTCTCCTTGACTAATACCTGGTGGTACATCAACTAGCGACGATGACGTTGTTGATGACAAAGTCGTTGTTTTCTCTTCGAATTGTCTCAATCTTGCCATTAGTTCACTAAATGTTGGTCGTTGTTCACTGAGTTCTTCCCAACACGAACACATCAATGCATAGATACGTTTTGGACAATTGACTGGACATGTTAATAATTTTCTATCTCGGATCATTTCAATAACTTCAGGATTTGTTCGACCTTGATAAGGCTGAATACCATAAGAAAACATTTCCCAAAGTAAAACACCGAATGACCAAACATCCGACATTTCGGTGTAGATACCGGACATCAACGATTCAATAGCCATCCATCGAACGGGTAATGATCGATTTGCGATTTTGTAGTAATCTGAATCATATTTTGGTCGATAGCGAGCAATATTCGAAATTTTGATATCCATATGTTCAGAAATGAGAATGTTCTTCGCAGATAAATCATTATGAACAAAATTTTTTTCTGTTAAATAAATCATTCCCGATAGAATTTGTATAGAAATATAAAGAAAGTCTGTTAAATCACGCTGGTGATACGATGGAGACGTTGTTGTCGAACGTTGTAGTAAATACTCATGTAAGTCTCCATCATTCAAACGTTCATAAACCATTACCGAAGCAGCATCTTGCGGTTGAATACAAATGCCAAGTAAACACGAGATATTTACATGACGAATATGACGAAAAACTTCAAAAGAAAGGCAATAGATTAACGAAGGAAACATTTTCAAGTCATACTTTCGATTTCCCGTGCATATTCTTCTCGATTCTGTGGTGTGGCATGTTCAGTTTGCAATGTTTTGACAATGCACTTCGTTGAACTATCAACTAATTCACCTTTATAAATTCGACCAAATTCTCCTGAAAAGAATTTCATACATAATGCAATCTTTACTAACAAAAAGATTCTCTACCTTCGCCAAGTTCTTGTAAAAAGCGGATATTTGTAAATGGAATCTCAGCCAATGCGTTTCCGGGCGAGGGTATATACATCAGTGGACGTTTGACTTCATTTTTCAGTAAACTTTGTCGAAGATATGTATTAGTAAAATTCGTATTTGAAGATGAAGACGATGATGGAAGAAGCTGTCGTGAATTTTGCTTCAAATGATTCGGCACGATAGATGAACGAAACGGTGATGATGTAACAGTATTTACAATATGCGATGATTTTTTGATTGGCGTCGATGTCGAAGAACAAGATGATAAATGACTTTTGTTATTTCGGTGTCGACAACACCAGCACATGAAGATCAGAAGAAAACATATAACACCGACAGGTATTAGAATGCTGAGAAGAACAATTAGGAGCGAAATTGATGTGGATGGCCGACGACTAATTGAATTCGTATTTGATGATTTCGTACCTTAACAGAAAAGAACAAAAATTGATCATTAACAACATAAAACAGTCTTCGTACTTTATAATTAAATCGAATTTATAGGTTTCAACATATACAATTACTATCGGTAGAAGTCGAACGTATTGAAAAGAACCCTCTTATTACACCTGAATAACTGCAAGGCTTTTCTTTGTATTTCAAGGATAGTTTACGGTTCAAATTTATGAGGAACTATTCATTCTCTTCTGCACGACACTTTCCATCATGTTTATCTATGCATCGATCGGTCTTACCGTTTTGACGATTGAGTAGTTTTTGATCAAAATCAATACACGATAAATCATCACTCGCCGGCGGTAGGTTTTCGCATGTTGGCATATTTTGTAAAATTTGTACTGAAATTCAATGAATTATTCAATATTTTCACGAGGAGTTTTAGCATTTGTATGACTTACAATTTGAATATGAATGTTGTTGATAAGTGAATAGATTTGCACATGCATGATTTTGAAAATAATCACACGAACGACGGCAGATTGAACGAATATTTAATCGATCATTATCGCAAACGGAATATGTAAATGAGCAAACCATTGGTAATAGTAATTGTCGACATTCGTTGGAGAGAAATTGATTATTTGTTAAATATTTGAGATTTTCGATTAGATTTCGTTCGATATCTTTCTGATTCGATGTCGATAAGGAAACGTATTGTGAACCAATGACTGAACGACAGATTTGACCTGAATACGGTTCGCATTTCAGTTTCGAAATGGAAACATCGTTGGGAGAAATGATCTCAGGTTGAAATTCGATCGGTGGTAATCTAAAACAAGCAAGATTTCTTCCTCTTCTTCTTCTATTTTCCAAATCAATGATACTTACGATTCATCTAATATATCAAGATTATCCATATCCACTAGAAGTACAAAACAGCAACAATGATGGGCAAATAAGAAAATCTTTCGTTAATTACCTGGATTTTTCACTCGAACAAATCCAGTTGAAGATAATGTTTGAAAACCGTTTGATACTTCACATGTATAAAAGCCGGCTTCTGCTTCTTTCAAATTATTCAATAGAATGCTAGAAATAATAAGTCAATAAGAAAATATTTTTGTTTATTCTTATCTATCTCATATTACCTCGATCGGAATGCACTTTGATCAATCGTAAAGCGATTCTTTTCAAGCGGATTATTATATCTATACCAATTGAATGATACTGGATATGATGACTGAACTTGACATTCCAAAATGACTGTAC